AGTTGTTGCACTTGTCAACAAACTTAACCGGGACTTTCTTTTTTTTGCCTGCCGCGGATAAGATAAGCAGAGAAAGAAATTTGAGGACAAAGAGTAGTGTACATAATATATTCATCTTTGTAAGTCTCAAGACGCAATAATTTTTTGGACCAGAAACAGATTTGATTTTATTAAACAAAGCATGTGATGAATGTATACTGTAGCCGCAAGTTCAAGTGACTTATAAAGCACTCTACACTACCTCATAATAAAGTGATCCATGTTGAGTAAGTTAGCGGTGTATATGAAGCGACACCTGTCGATCACGGACAAGTTCACCGCAAAGTTAGCGCATTAAACACTCGTTACTATCCACAAACTGCTCTGCGGAGAAAGATGATCCCTCTCTGCCGATACGAACCTTCTAAATTAAACTTCTTTAATGTTCATAATGTGATATTGTAATATTTATACTACATTATTACAGGCTACAGGTCCTTTAATGTAAAAACAATTTATCTATTTACAAACTGTAACACGGCTTGTGTGTGCTTTTGTAACTAATTTAGGAAACCCTCCATAAGTGTTTAAGTGCGATCTAAAATATGCCGAGGTCATTACTCCTAAACGTTTTCAGCGACGAAAATAGATATTAATATGTTATGATATAGCAATATAACGTTCATAAGAATAGTAACTGTGTAAGAAAAATATTTAGTACAAATTGAGTTAGTTCATCAAAAGAACTGCGAGGTGAAACAGCAGGGGCGAGCATTAAAAAGTCATTAGCACCAACATCGCTACAGCAGACATACGCAGTCGATTCTGAACTCTACCTTAGTGTGTTACATGTTACAATCGTATGCAGGAGATCCGCAAGGCATTTGTTAGCGCAGATTGTATCGGTGTAGAGTAAGGTGTAGCTTTGTTCTGCTGCGAACGGATTTGGTTGCAGCTCGCCTGCTACCTGCATCCTTACGATGTAAGAACACATTTTCAAATCCTATTTATCCAGTTCCTATTTTAAGTGTTTGCAGCTGCTTGGGATTTAGAATAATCATTGCATTTTGTAGTTCAATAAACAAATCTTTTTTTTAGGTACTATGATTAAATACTTTAGTACGAAGTAATTACTAATTGAATACAAAATAGTACTTCTTCATCTGCGCATCTTCCGGTGAAATACTTCCAGCTGCCGGCGAAGGCATTAAACCATTCGTAAGAATAAGCGATGAGAGCGAGGCCTACGTGAAATTCGTAGAGTCGACGAGATTAGCAAAATGTTCCTCGTTGTTGTGAAAGCCTTTTCCTTCTCGGCTAAAAGCTTATTGATTGACACAATCAAAATACTGTTACATTTTTCTTGGCTTTACCACTTGTATTCGCATTATATCATGTTTACTGTTTACTGAGTCCCTTCATGAGAGATTCTCTCTAATAATTAAAAATGCTATTCAAATAATAAAATTACAAACAGGTCACATTAAAGTAAATAAAAATTTATAGGATCTGAATATAAAAATAACAGAAACGTTCAAAAGTTCATGCGGTCGCTAATGAAAATAGTTGTTTAGAAATTAGAAAAAAACTTGTCGGCGCGGAACAAAGTAAACAATTTAAAATGAAACTTTTCCCGGCCGCAGGGAGCGGGGCGGGGGCGGGACACAGCAAACCGGCCGGAATCTCTTTAGAGGGCTTTAAAACGAAATGATCTTTGCCGGGCTCCGGAATTTGTTAATATCAAGACATATTCAAATTTTTATTCAATAACAACCCCTTACGCTGTGAACATCCCCCCCCCCCGGGATAGCACTCGTTATGCAGATCTTAAGTCGTACAAGCTACAATATTATCATTTTATCAAAACATTATACTTGTTCAAATCATAAAAGAGAAATGCTACAACATCATACAGAATGCTCGCTCAGATCACGTCCTCACAATATAATTAGCTTGGAATTAATTAAAAAGATAACGTTTTCACATCTTCAACTGGAATTTGAATACACATTGTCATTATTGTTACGTACATGTGTTTATTTAGTAAGATTTTTAACAGAATTATGGAACAAGAGTTAATTATTACATAAAAACTATATTATTCATTTAATCAAATAATGATATCCGTAAGACGGTTTCATTGAGAAAAATGCTTCAAAGCTATTCTGGGAAATTGAATGTTCAGCCTCCATACTTCAGGTGGCGAAGTGATAGCACGAATTACGTCGTCACTTTTCTTAAATTAAAGTCATCAACTGTCGAACGAGTTTATTTGGGCTTTAAATTTATATGTATTTTATTAGGATAACAATAAGTAATATGAAACCTGGTTTCTTCGGGTGATCCTTGACGAATAAAAATCTAGACTCTTAAGTTATTTATGTTGGTATGGAACAATGAGGCGGGCAACAAATTCACTCGCCTCACGGACAGGTAGCACTTGGAAATGAACGAGTGCACTTACATTAAAAAGTCATTAGAGTTAACATTTATGTGTTGTAGCGGCTGCGTTGCTTCGGGAATGTATACTCTATCAAAAGTTCATAAGTTGCAGATCGGATCGCAGCGCACTTATGTTGTGGTGTCGTATTGTTTTAGTATAGTCGGAGGTTTTGTTACACCCAGAAATGGATTTCGTCGCGAGCGCCGGCGCGCGGTTTATTTCACTACACTCTCGAGACTCAGAATATCGAGTTCTGTTTTAATGATGGCCAAATAAAAAGGTAGTTCTCTTTATATTTTGTTTATCCTATTCCAACGAATATATTTGTACCCAAATAAGTTATTCCATACTTTTAATAATACCGTTTGGCAACTTATGTAATAATGGCAATAATTTATGTAAATTTCATCCATGTTACTCGGAAACACAAACGTAATGATCCCAAGAAAGCGAAAACAGTGGAAACGAATAAAAATGGTACATCTTCCGCTCTTTTTGTAGGAAATTATAAGTTCTTGTTGAGGGGGCGGGGGCGGGGGCGATAATAACAGGGGCTGTTATCGCGCTTCTAATACTTCCTCATTCTTGTGAACGCGTCAGATTTCTCGCAGCCTTTGTCCTGCGCTCTTTAATCTATCCACTGCTAATGCTGCCCCGCCCCCCTCCCCCCGCACCACCCCCCGACTGCATCGCAACATGGACTTCAATTGAAATCATTGTAAATTATTACACCGTCGACGGAACTTGTAAGATTTGCGATTTTTGATTGAAAAGATATCAACGTTTATATCAAAAGTATAATTTCATGCAATTTCTATTATGAAAAGAGAGGAAATTTCAATCTAAGCGGTAGTTGTATAGCAGTGGGCGCCAGGAGCCGCGCCATTCCGCGCGGTACTGAGCCACTTGTTACCCACACCGGTGTCTTTTTATTCTCAAAGTAAATAAAACCTTTATTAAAAACACTTATAGGACAAAAATACGCTGTTATTAAGACTTTCAAGTGCTACGAAATTATTATACATAAAATATTGTGATTTTTTAACGCCGTGGTCCAGAAATATGTTGTTTATTAATAGTTCCTCTAATATCCTCTCTCTCTCTCTCTCTCTAATATCTTCTCCTCCTAATATTAGTAATAATAAAATATATGTTACTCACAGATAAATATCTTTTCCAATAGTGGAAGAATAGATCGGTCCGGTAGTTTTTGAGTTATTTCAATACATACAAAAATACAAATCTTTCCTCTTTATAATATTAGTATGGATATAGATTGCAGAGTGATGTGCATCACGGACGAGAGAGCTGCCCTTGGAGCATCGAATCAGTACACTAAATATAAAAACTATGGTAGGCCCGGTGGGCTAGTAGTAGCGTACCAGTAACGTTTGTTAATGTTTGTTGCCTAAACTGCTGAAAGGATCTCGATGAAATTTGGTGTAGACGCAAATATAGTCTGGAAGAACACATAGTCTAAGTAGACTATGTTTACTTTTGTTTTTTTTTTTAACTTGGAACGGAGTCGCGAGCGAAAGTTAGTAAGTAATAAAAGACGAAAATAAAACGCGTACCCCATCTCACCATCGGCAGTGACGTATTTACTAACTCTCTAATGGAGTTCCCTATAAACACGTTGTTAACGATTTCTGAACATTAGCGACCGATTTAAAGTATCGCGGAGTTGCGCTAGAGGAGCCGGCAGAGATGTATTTAACCACATTCATTCTAAACTTTAACCGGCCAATTTATAACTACTACAAACTTTTGATTCTGCCATATGTTGGCCCGTTTCAGTTTGTAAAGTTTATTTGCTTGTTCTAACTTCAGGGTATTAATTTAATTTGGAGGAAAACATTAATTTTAATGGGTTTTAACCGCAACTACGTTAGCGTATATTTCATACATGGACATAATAATAAAATTCCATTTGATTGTTTTATCGGTTAAATTCTCTCTTTAATTGTCGAATCATTAGACTTCAAAGTAAACCAATAAATGAAATGTAATAAACTAACTACAAAGTTTTCAATAAAACAATCGTTTCATCGTACAAGTTATCGCACTCGTCAATCGAATGCAATTAAGTTTTATTGAAGAAAATTAAAGCAACAATGAACTAAATACTTTTTTCATTATTAAATAATACCTTTACAAACTTGCAAATAGTTTTAACAAGTAGTAATTACTACTAGTAACTACTGTTGTTGAGCAAATTATAAAAAATATTTTGTGCCGGCTAGTGCCATCTTCACGTAACGTTTTATTTTCGTATTGCAAATACTTCTGTTCAGTTCGTTTATATCCGGTTCCAGAGATGGCGCTACTTCAACCTTCAACGCCATCTAGTTTTCACATTTATAAAACGCCGTTCTATTCGCAAACTCACGCAAACGCCGTCTACATTTCTTCTTGAAATCTGTTAAAAGACGGTTACTTAGATGCCATCTAGTGTCTATTTTGAAAACATTGATACGATGAGATTTAACGCCATCTATGAATAGTTTTGGAGATCATTCGTCAGCTGCGCCGCACGTAGGACGTAGGTTAGAGCGGCCGAAGGGAGCGAGTGACGTACCTGGAGCAGCTGCGGCTCGCGCTCGGCCGCGTCCAGCAGCGACTCGGCCTCGCTCAGCCACGCCACGAACTTCTCCAGCGAGCGGTCGAAGTTCTGCAGCGACGACACCGCCGCGTGCAGCGCCTTGCCGCGCGACACGATGCTGCACACACACGTTCCAAAATATTACCTTTATTACTTGCAGATAAATTACCTTTCTAATGGTGTTTGTTTGTTTGTTTTTGAGTGATTCAATACATACAAAAATACAAATCTTTCTTCTTTATAACATTAATATAGATATTAAAGGTTCTTTGTAACATTTCACATATCGATTTAATAAGTACAATAAAGGTACATTATTGCGTGCCGATACTAAGGAGAATAAACGCCATCTAGTGAAATGATTAGAAACACAGCAATTCAATTCCTCACTACGCTAATTTTGTCTAAATCTCGACGACAGATGGCGTTACTTCAATTGTAAGAAAGTAGTTCTGTAGCAAAAGGATAGATGGCGCATGAAACTTTTCACTAACAACTTTGTGACACTAACTAAGTCAGTTTTGTGGAGGACCGCATTCTCTGGAAGGGATTCATCATATCCTACCTTCTATAGAAGAAATCAAAGGAAAAAATATTAGGACAGATAAAAGGCGCTGCTAAGGATGTTTTAGTAAATGTTGGTGTCACCTATTGTTGAGGTCGGAGTAGCGATGGTTGATGGCCTCGGTGGCGCGCTTGACGCGCGAGGTGTCGTCGTTGCGGTAGACGGCGATGAGGCGCTGCGTCAGCTGCCCGAACAGCTCCATCTGGTGCTTGTACTGGTGCACCTCCGCGTGGAACGACTGCACACAACACGTAATGCATGCACACGTGGCTAACCAGTAATCACACAGTTTAGATGGATGGATGGATGTTTGTTAGTTTCTAGTCTAAACAGCTAAATGGATTTAGATGAAATTTGGTACAGATATAGAGGGTACTTTGGAAGAACACACAGGCTATTAACTTTTGTTTTTTCCACGCGGACGGAGTCGAGGGTTAACCTAGCTTTAAAGCTAGTTAAAAAAACTTTTCGCAGCAAAATTGACTAATTTTGTTATTATTTGAATTAAGGATCATGATGCCAGTTTTTATTACAACAAACGACTGAAAGAACTACAATCGCCCATTATTTACCACCCTTACCCCC